CGACAATATGCGTTTTTGCTGGCTGTAGCAGCGCTATAGCGCTGCACAGCAAAAACGCGTAAAAACATTTACACGTCGTTACGCCATGACTCCTTCTCATGCCTGCAGCACCAGGATGCGATCGTACGGTTTTTGCGATCAGCTAAAACGGTTACTTATTTGAAGATGAGAATTTTGCTCTGGAATTTTTTAATTTAACGTAAAGGATTAGAACTTTTTTAGTTTGAAATGTGACGTTTAGTTCCAGTAGCTATGCAGAAATGATCAAGAAGAGAGAAGAGTTGAAAAACTTTACAATTTCAAATGTCCCTACCAGCTTACGCAAGAGGCAGACGTGCACAAAGGTTGAATTTAGATAAGCGAAAAAAAACATCCTCCTGAAGTTCCAGCTTCCGAGCTTTTCTAGTTTTCAAGTTGTAAAAATTCCAGCTAAGACCGTCGCGTGTTCGTACTGAGAATTAGGCCTATGTGGGTACTATATTTGAGAACCAGAAGCAATATGTTGGTGTGACGCATCTCCGCAAAATTTCAGTTTTCTGCTCTGTGTTTTCCGATCTTGTAAAGTTAACAACAACATTCTGCCAAAACTTTCATGTGTCCGTACGTGAAACGTAGGCATACTTAGGAGCTGAAATGTGTCAAGCACTATTCTGCTGCTTACAGGAAAGTTAAGTAGGAATTAGTGAAGAACCGCGCATTGTATTTGCAGCTCAACAAATTGTAATTTGTGTATTCGTTTCCTTCCGTTACGATCTCTTTACTTTTTCCTGCTTGATGCTTCTAAATGTCTATCTCTTTTTGGTAAAACAAAAATATAGTTTGAATTTAAATTGGCGAAAGAAATGTGACAGAAGGTTTCATATGTGATTCTGAGTAACTAAATTAAGATTTGCTTATTAGTCTATATACAATAACTTTAATTTTCAAATGTAAAATAATATGTCCAGCCAAAGTCGTTTTTTGAATCCTGTGGGTGAATTGGGATTGTTTTTTGCATTTAAAAAAGTTTTTCTGAGGATAATGAAACTTACATTCAGTTAGTGAACTGTAAAATAACTGTAAAATAATTTTCAGGCTTTCAGAAGTACTAGAGCATGCCCGGGAAATGCGTCCGTATAAAGGTGGTTACTTTAATTGGTTTTGTTCACGACAAAATACAACAAGTATTTAGGCGTAACAACAAAGATCTTCCGTTAGTACCGAGAGGACGGCATTATGCTTGTGGAAAAAATTAATTACTGAACGGTGTATTGAAAACTTTTAAGTTCATTTATTTCTCAAAATAGTGCAGGTAAGCGGAAGTAAAAACCTAGCAAATATCTATAGGTAGAGACACTCGGAAGCAATCCAAATGATAAAGCCCGTCAACCTCTATCCAGGCTATTGGTGGCTGGTTCTTCCAGAGACTTCTTTGAAGCTGGTGGGGTTTTAATTTCCTGGCTTTCATAAAATCCCTCCTGTATTCGCTCTGTGTGGGAAGATACTCGCAATTTCGAGAGTAGGAAGGAGCGGCCGAATACAAAACAGCCGATAATTATCATTAGCTATGTCTGATAGCACTACGCAGCTGAAAACATTCAGTTGCTATGACCAGTGCTGCCTTGCCTGTCGGTCAGCAATCCTAATTTTCATTCATCAGGCTGACAATACAATTTATGCAAGCTATGTGTTTGCTTTCAGTTGTTTTTGTCAGAAGAAAATTCTTTTTTTGACGAGAGTTTCAGGATCCGCTTGTTAAATGCATTTCCTCCAGATGGCTATTAATTCCGTCAATACCTGTATCATAGTAGTCCAGTTTCTAGCCAACGCAACTGTGCTTACGGTATTTTTCTGCCACTCAAAACTACGCCGCAACCAGCAACTTTACACTTTAATGGTGGTTTCATTCACCGATCTCCTTTTCTCGATTACCGCTATTCCATATTATGTTGTTTTGCTCTTAGATTGGCAAACTGATGTTGATGGTATGCCAAACCTACTTTCTTTCCGTTTTTCCTTCCTACAAAGACAAAAAGTGTTATTTATTTTAATGTAATGTAATCTAATATAATAGTTTATTTATCGCAGCAGCTTCTGGACTCTTTACACACAATTAACAGCTAACATAAATTAGAAATGTGCGTCAGACAAACCACTTTACCAGAAACACAATAAAAAAGAAAACCTTAAAATTTCAGCTTTCCAGCTTTTCTGATTCCCGAGGTAAAATTTTCCCGTCAAAATTTTCGCGTGCTCATACTTCGGACCCAAATGTGCTTGAAGGACCTCTTCCCAATATGCGTTTTTGCGCGCTGTAAAAACGCCAAAAAAGTAATAAAATTCGACATGCACTGGTAACTTTTTGCTAATATGCTGTCTTTTATTTACACAAATATACAAAAACGCATAAAAAGCATCAGAACCGAGCTAAAATTGCATTCCTTAACGGGCCGAAACGTTTTATCTCATTGTTTTTTCAGCACCTTAGCTCTTTCAGCTCTTTTGTCTTCCCTTTCTCTTTGTCTTTTTCGGCTCTGCCGTAGTGCCTTGCAAGTAAGTAACTAGAAAAATAATATTTCAGGTACGGTAACTTACAAACCGATGGAACTCGTTATCTTTGGAGCCCCATCGGCTTCACTTATAAGAGCATGCAACATTGCTGCTGTTGCTATAGCTGTTGATCGTATTTATGCATCGTATTATCCCACTCAGTACTTAAATTATTCCAGAAAGTGGTGTTTTTTTGACTTATTTCTCTAAAGTTACTGAGCAATAACTTTTTTCTTTCGTAAAATCCGCCGGACTAGTAAATTCTTCAAAGACGAAACGAATGTTAGGATCGCCAACCGATTGACTGGCCAATAAGCGATAAAAAATTAATCAGAGCAGATGAAAAGTGGCAGATGAAAAAGCTATCAGCTGTATCACTAGAAAAGCAGCTATAAATTGCAGCTGATCAGTTCAGCTCTTCTTCCTGGCGTACGTTGGGTCAATAATTTCGCGCATATCAAGCCAAACTGCAGTTCTTCACTAGAAGTGCTGCAATGCAACTTGCAGATACTGAGCAAATATCACTTTCCAAAAAATTTTGAAAAACAAAAAAGCACGTTTTTCAGATGGTCAGTAATTTTTGTTGCTTCCGCGGCATTTTTGGGATTTGTTATTGATTTGATAGTACTTGCATTTACCGGATCAGCAACTGTGATCATTAAGGATTGTGCGCGATTTACATGCTTCACTTCTTACGTAAATATTTACTGACTTTTTTTATTATAAAAATATTAATGACGACATATATTAGTAAGAATATTAGTGACGACAATATTAGTGACGAATATAAAAAAATATATTAGAAAGCAGATGAACAGAAATGTTTTCTGCCCGTAAAGTCGTATATCTTGGACCTCGTTTGTACGACATTTGCCGCGTTGGTTAATTAAGAGTGATAGTCAAAACATAAACATGTGTAGGTTAGGGATAGTAATAGTTTAAAAAAAAAAAAGATTTACCTTAAATAAACAGCCGATCACATAAAATGGCTCTCTCATGACGAACGGCTGTAAGTGCGCATTAGCTGTGTGACTCAAAAATTTGCCTCAATTGTTTCTTATTTCAGGATGCAATGGAACTGATAATTCCGCTTAAAACGTAATTTTCAGCACGAGTGCATCTTCGTAATTTGCAGGCTTTTCAACAGTACTGGAGCATATCCAAGACGTGCGTCAGTGTAACGACAGTTATTTTAACTTGCTTTGTCCTAGCCAAGATATGGAAAATTTCTGGGCATAGCAACAGCATTTTTAGTCAGTGCGATGATGCTGACTTTTCTTCCTGCGAAAAAAATAATTATCGAACGGTATCTTGACATTTTTAGGTTTTAACGTAATGTAGAAGATTTTGTAAGTGTTTATAATTTATACTCTATTTGAAGAATAGGCACTCAGGAGCAGACCGAGTGGCTGCATTTGTCAGAAGCAAGTATTCACTGGCGAATCTGTCGATAGTTCTCTCTTACGTCGACCGCCCAGAAACATGCTGATTTCGACTTTCTGTCACGTCAGAACCTCTCTCTGCATTTCCTCCCTATAAAAGGCGGAAGTATTCGGCAGCTGCTGCTAATTTTGCATACTTTGATTATCTTTCACAGCATGATTCTTCAGCTCTGCAGCTAACACTTTTCCAGTTGTTTTGACCAACGCTACATCGCCCCTAAAGATCAGTCCTGCTAACGATGCTGATGTTCGGTTTGTTTCTTAAACGAATTATCAGTTCAGCAGTTCTCTGAACAGGAGTACTTCGGCAAGGCTTTAGTCGTTTCAAGATGTCATAGATGCCCACTGAGCTGCAGTGCTCCGACTGAATGTTGCGACTCCCATATCATGGTGACCGACTGGTTAACAAAATTTTGAAAGCATCAAAATTGCCTGGTCTGTAAGTAAGGGATTTTGATGTCCCGGAAATCTGCTGCTATGCGAAGAGTCACACCCTCATGACACTGCTAGTTCATAAAGTTCACAACTGCCTTCATGAAAATGAGGCGAGTTTACTTGTCAGTTCCTATATAATACTTGTATTTTGTATTTTTGTACTTGTGGTTATTTTGAACAGGTTTTTCAAGTTTCAGGCTACTCGGGTAAGTATATACGTGCTGCTGGTTGAGACGCTATTCGGGGCGCTCCCAGGTATAATTAGCTTTTTAGCATCAGTCGCCGAATCGATGAAGCTTATCGACGCTATGGGCTATGCAGTTGGCGTTTGCGCTTCACTGAACGGTGTTTGCCATCCGTTCATTTTTGCTTTCGCGCATCGTGATTTCAAAGAAGTATTGCATCGCCAAGGTGGCTTAATCCAGAAAATATCGGCAACTAGCTCACACTTCACCAGTGGAAGAGCTCCAACCGTTATTGACAATATTTCTGGTAATAGAGGTCAACTGAGAGCACCATCGATGGTAGCCAGTCCTTCGCATCTTCAAACCTTAGTTGCTAGCAACTTAAATCTAATTCCATTTTCGGAAAGGGCCCAAAAAAGTACTTTCACCCACAACTTGGTAAGATGAGAAAAATAAGTATAACTGATAAGAGAAAAAAATTGCCGGACTTGACCAGAGGGCAAAAATACACTGAATTGAGGCATGAATCAAAACTGAGGCAAGCGAGGTATTTCGTGTGAAAATGTTTTTCTGGGGTGTCATCTTTACTGACTTCGACACTTGGAATCCTTAGCGATGATCGCTTTTATGTTAAATTTTATTGTGGCCACATCCTGCCTTTGCAGATTTTATACGTCATAGCAATAGTTTTCTCTTCTTTGATCAATAAAGTGGGGAAAATAAGCCAAAGGAGCGGGGACATTCGAAAACAGCCGAAAGCAAACAATTCCTGAAATGCTTTTGCTGCTCGATCATAAAAAAAGGTCGAACTGGTATTATTTTTTGAGACATATTTTTGGCGCATTTAGGAACGAAGAATCTGGCAGAGCTCTGCTCAGCACATGTGAGCATTCCAGTAACATCACCAACATGGAACACTCACACTAATAATCCGGATGGTCTTGGTAGTCCTGGTATAGAAATGGTTTTCTTGATATGAAAACTTAATTGGTCATTCATAAAAATTTTTACAGTGACTGCAGTTGAGGTGTAAAATTTCAAATGTCTTGTAAACTATTTCCAAATGTATTACATTAACGGTGTCAAGTTCCAGAAGTTGGTGAGACCACTGCCACATCACCCTGTGGCTGGCTTGCTGGTAATACCGGCATTCACTAAAAAGTATTAATTTGATTCTAAACCTGAAATCACTGCTGGTTAAGGGCCCAGAAAATCTGGAAGAGCGGTTTTGGAATGTCACTTTTCATCATAATAAAAAGCATTCCTTGGACAATTCTCATTTCCAACTTTCTTTGTTTTCCAGTGAAAATATTAATTTGAATTTGAACCTCTCAGCAAAACTCTGGATGAAGAAGTTGATTTTGGATTTCTGACTACATTCCTGAATGGTAATTATTGTAATAAAAAATAAATCCAGTCCTTCAGTTTCGATTTCTGGACTTTAGTCATCTCACGTACAGTCATACAAAAAAAAACAGGCAGATACACATGCACGCTACACGCACACATATGAAGTACGGTACCACAGTAACCCGCTTTCAACCCATATAGGTTTTGCAAAAACAGTGTAAAAATAAAGACGGCAAATATAACCCAGTCTGGAATACACCAGCTTGCTGGTGTGGTCATGCACTTTTGCACTAAACTCGCAGATAGCTAATAGCAGGAATGATCCTTGCGCCGTAACCTAACACTTGGGCTCATATTGGCCGTGCTTTGACCTCTTCCATCATGCAGGAGAAAGGACGTCGGTTGGGATGATGGTGTTGCATTATAGGACCGCATGAATTTTGCACCGGAATCTTTTTAATTTAACAGAATTTTTTAGTTTGAAATATGAACTCCTCTTCCGGAGTTAACAATTTCCCTGCTAAAATTTTTCTGTGTCTTCACGTAAAACCTAGATCTTGTTAGGAACTGGATTTGAAATCTCTGGACTACACTCTTAAAAATTTCACCTTTCTGGCTTTTCTGGTCCTGCAGTCAGCGTTTTTTGTCAAAACTTTTACTTCTCGATGCGTGAAGGCTGATATCATACCTCGGCTTTCTATTTGGCCGGAGTTTGAGCTCGATTAGTTGCCGAGGTGGAACACCCAGGACAGATGAAAATGCACACAAACAAACATTCACAACACACAGGGTCCTCAAAAAATGCGTTCTTGCTCATTATTGCAGCGCTGCAGCGCTGCACTGTAAAAACGCATAAAAAGGAAGGAATTCAAAAGGTGGAAACCGACCAAAGATTCCAGTGGATGCTAGGATTATCAGCAGCTGGAGCATTGGCTGACACAGCAATTTCCAGAAGGATTAGGTACGGATGCTCTTCATTCCTGTATCGCCTTCTAATGGATCATTAATAACGATGCGGAACTTGAAGTTGACGACAGATTTTCAAATTATTTCTAGTCAAATCGTTAACCTGTGCATTCAGCTGATATTTTCAGCAACAGATCGCTCATCAGTGAAACTCATGTTGCAGAAACGCAGCAATATTCGCCTCAAAATGCGACAATCTATGCCCCATTAGCAGAAGTGGTGACAGTTCGTTCTCTGAGGATAACACTCCGGCTGGACCCTAAATACTTTGAGGCCAAAATCGAAAACGAATTCAATCAAAAATATACATATTTTCCTCCTCCCTCAAACTTAGTAATAAACTCGTGGGTTTTTTCAAGTGAGTAGTGCTATACATTCTTAACTACACTCAGTGGTACCAATACAATCGACAATTCTACGCTAGTGCTTGAGTAAACCAGTTCCATTAAGTCCCCATATATGATGAACAGATTTAACCCAAGTCTGCGGAGAAAGCAGGAAGCTGAGGAAGAAGGGTACTCGCAGATATAGCACTGCACGAGGAACTGCAGCAGCACCGATTGAACGGCACCAATGAAGAAAACAGGGACAGTAATTGCGAATAATAATTTGTTTCAAAAATAAATAAATAGATTTGCATAATTTTGCAATTTGCGGTCATGGGGCGTTACAGCTGAGGAATTTTACTTACATTTTTATGCGTTTTTGCATATAC